CAGCCTAGGGAAGGAGCGGGGGAGTGGGCTGGGATTGTAGGGCCCAGCCACCCCCCATCTCAAAGGGGGGACACTGAGGCCTGTTAGCCGCAGTTCCTGTAACCAGATGACAGATGTTGTGCTGTATCCTGGAGAAGCAATAAACTCCCGCTATTCTACTGGCTGGTGGAGTCTGTTCATGCCATTTTGGGGGTGCAGGAGACGGGAAAACCCCAACGCGCCGTCACAGTGTGTGTGTGCATGCATGTGTGCACACGCAGTTGGGAGTGTTCCAGCTGTATTGCTCACGTGTTAGTTCCAGCAGCCTCGTGTCTGAGGAGAAAAGAACCCAGGTGTCCTGATGGAGCTAAAGGAGACATTTCCCCAGAGACATCTTGGGTGGAAAGTCCGTGCCCGGTGCAGCGATGGAGCCATGGGCTGGACTCACGCGCCCCGAGCCAGGACCTTCCTCCCTGTCCTCCTCAGGGCCGAGGCCACGTCCTTGTTCCTCAGGCTGTAGATGACGGGGTTTAGGGCAGGCACCACGACGGTGTAGAAGACGGCCACCTCCCAGTCATGTCCCAAGGCGTGGCTGGAGGCCGGGCGGAAGTAGAACCAGGCCACACTGCCGTACATGAGCAACACCACGGTCAGGTGGGAGCCACAGGTGGAGAGGGCCTTGCGCAGGGCTTGGGCAGAGCGCAGGCGGGCCACGGCCACCCCGATGCGGACGTAGGAGGCCAGGATGAAGACGAAAGGAGCCACCACTACGAAGACGCCCTGGGTGGAGATCACCAGCTCGCTGGCAACAGGCCGGGTGCAGGAGAGGCGCAGCAGGGGCGGCACGTCGCAGAAGAAATGCTGCACAGAATTGCCACAGTAACGCAACCGGGCGGTCATGACGGCGTGCAGAAGGCCGTGCGAGATCACCACGGCTAAGGAGGCGGCCGCCATCTTGAGGCACAGGGACCGCGTCACCACGGCGGCGTAGCGCAGCGGGTCGCAGACGGCCATGTAACGGTCGTAGGCCATGATAGCCAGCAGGTAGCCCTCCATGTTGTCCACGGCCAGATAGAGGAAGAGCTGGGCCAGGCAGCTAGCGAAGGGGATGACCCGGTGCTGGCTCAGGGTGTTCACCAGGGCCTGGGGGAGGGTGATGGAGGCGAGGCCCATGTCCACCATGGCCAGCTGGCTGAGGAGGAAATACATGGGGCTGGCGAGCTGGGGGTCAGCCCATATCAACACCAGCAGCATGGAGTTGCCGACTAGGTTCACCAGATAGGTGGCCAGCAACCCCGCGAAGATCAGCGGCTGCAGGTCCTGGCGCTCGGACAGGCCCAGGAGCACGAACTCGGAGACGGACGTCCAGTTGGCCTCGGCCATGGCGAGGGGCGGCAGCAGCACCTGAGCGGGGAGGAGCAGGGCGGCACCAGGGACACAAGGCGCTGAGGAAACACGCCGGCCCCTTTTGAAAAACGGCTCAACAGTTGGCTCTGAATTTAAAGCCGTCCCACATTCGAGACTCCCCCCGACCCTGGCTAAGCCCAGCTGACCCTCACTGGTCAAAATTTCTACCTTATGTCTTGTCAGAATATGCCCAGCTGCACCCGCCCGCACCAAATGTGAGGCTGGTTCTGCCTTTCTCAGGACTGGCCGTGCCCGGCGTTTGTAGCCACGTCTCCTGCGCCAGGTTTTCTGACCTTCCTCACGCCTCTCGCTCCCCTCTGGACTGTCTCCCACCTGCCCCCACCTTTCCAGCCGGGACCCAGAACGGGACCCAGGGCTCCGGCGGAGACCTCCCCCGTGTCTCCTCATCCCGTGTCCGACCCACGGCGCTGCTGTGCGCCCCGCCCAGAGCAGTGGCGCTGACACAGCTATGCCGTTGTGGGGGTGGCCGAGTGTTCTCCATGGGGTGCTGCGCCTAGACACCACAAGGGCAGGAGGCATCCACAGCGCCAGCCCTGCCCAGCGTGTCCGGGCACCTACCTGAGAGGGGACCCCTGCGCTCAGTTCATCAGAGAGCCGGGGGGGAGGAGGCCTAGTACCGGTCTGGAAACACGCTCACAGTCCTTCGCCTGCATCTGGGTCCTGCCTGCTGCCTGGCGACCCCTCCTCCGCACCACATGGGAAATGCAGGAGCTCGGGGCCAGGTCCGGCCCGGGGAAAACTCTCCTGTGAGAGAGAAGGGGGATTAGGATTGTTTAAAGCCTACAATTCAGCGTGGCCCCACGTCAATGGGACAAAGAAAAGAGCTTGGGGGATTCTGTCCTCCCAGTCGCCTGGTGCAGCAACGAGGGGGCAGCCCATGGAATGACAGTGGGACATTGAAATCCAGACTCACACACTCAGGCACTGTGGAACTCATTGCTGCAGGATGGCATCTAGGCTCACACTTAGGAAGATTCAAAGCGGGACTGGGCATTTCCCTAGGTGAAAGGAACATCCAGAGTTAGATTTGCCCAGCCCAATAAACACTGCGGACAGGATATTAAGCCTCCCGCTGCAGGGCTGTATGAAATCTCTCGCCGTGAGCAGTGAGAAGGGAATATTGCCAGAAGCAGATCCACCCTGTCCCTGCAGGTTCTTATATTTCTTATACCTGCCTCCCCAGCATGTGGCACTGATGTGGGCTGGGGATGGATTCTGAATGAAAGGGGGTTTGTTCTGGCCCAGACTGGCCATTTCTGCACCCGACCTGCTGCCCCCTTCCACTCACACAAGCACGGC